TTTGTGTTTTTACATATCATAATAATTTAAAATTCCAAATTTTCATTTTACAACCAATTGCTGCTAGTATTTCGAAAGTAGTTGAACTTCTGGTTCTGACCAAAACGGAGTTACAGCATCTAGATTTGTTGTTCCGCCTGAATTTTTTTTTAATTGGACAATATACATCAAACAGTAGTTTACAAGTAACAAAATATCTGGCGCCGAAGTACACCAAACCCTGAGAGGTGAGAAAACAAAACCAAACAAAGGGAGCCTTGTGATCGCGACTGCCTTGAGAGTGTCCAGGCTGAAGCCCAGGAAAGTGGGGTTCAGGGAAACACTGGGCACTCCCAGGATCTAGGTGATGGAGCGAAGCTCCACCTCGGTCAGGGAAGGAGTTTGTAGGACAGAGTCCTGGAGAGAAGAGAGCTACATGTATCCAATGCTTTAGGAAGACTTTCATTACCTTATCTGTGGCTCTTTTCCAACTTCTGGCACAGCAGCCCCCCTTGCTCACTATGCCCTTCTGATGTCGGCTTCCTTCTCACACTGGAGTGCACAGAAATGCACAGCTGCTGAGACTTGCAGTTGTTAATTTTCACCCTGAAGTCACTGCAGCTAGATAATCCCAAAGCCAACTTTTTCTGTCCTCTGTCATATATCTTCACCTGCATTTCCCCTCACCAGATGCATCTTTTCTGACCAAAAAAGAAAGTACCACCTCTTGCCACCACTCTCCATTCCTTCACTCTGCTTTAATTTTCTCAGCATTGTTTATCATCACCTAAAATTATGCTACATATTTATTTCCTGTCTTCCTGCATTAAAACAGCCATGGAAACTTCCTGACACTTGCAATAATGCCTGAGATTTAGACAGTACTGGATAGATATTTTTGAAAAATAAATAAATAAATAAAAGTTATGGTAGCATCAATATTAATGACTAAAACATTTGTTTATTTGTACTTAGGCATACATATACACATATATGTACGTGTATATGTTTGTCCTGAAAATAGTTTGAATATGTGTTGAAAAACTGCATTATGTAACATGTTGTAAATGAGTAGCACAACTGAGGCAAATTACAAGTGTTTTAGAACATATAAAGATGAAAATGTTATTTAAGTTTAAAACGGAGTCTTATTAGTATATAATTTATCTAACATCACAAGAAATTAATTCATTATTTGTATTGGATATATACTACATTTCAAATATATACAAATATTTTTGTTGTAATAGAGAACATACAGAATATGTAATTGTCATTAATATAAATATCCCTTTGTTCTATTTCCTTCACTATTATTCTTGCTCACTATTTTTCTTTAAGAAGAGAAATGCTGTAATTTGATTAAATGTCTTAAAAGGAAGCATGTGTATCTAAACCAATTATGTGTACTTGTGATTAGTGAAGACATATTTCAGTGAGGAAGCTGATACTGTTGAGTGACATGTTATGTCCTTGAAATTTCTCAGCTACTGTAATGTTTGTGATATTGACCACAAGTAGAACCCTCATTTGTACTTACTGTACTTCTGATTACTTGGCAATATAAATAAGTTTACCTTTTATCTACTCTCCAGTAATTTTTTTAGTGATCTTTTATGCCTTGTTTTGTTTTAAGGGGATAATGATGTATGTTTGGATAAACTTGTTTCATGAAGGTTATTGCTACTGGCCAGTTTTCAAGTGTTATAAATTTTGACAACCACTTTGTTCATCTTTTCAATCAGGTGCAAAACTCAGCTGTACTAATATCTTTTAATTGCTTGGCAAAAAGTAGCAAACATCTGCTCATACACAACGTGGTTTTGAATTAGTAATCAAAATAAATAATGCTTTGTATTTTCAAATGCTACATGATTCAGTAAGTTGAATACATCTGTGCTACATTTCAAAAGACCACCATTTCATTAGACGTTGACATGATCTATAAAAAGTGCTGCTTAAATCTTAAAGGAAGAAAACATTAAAAAAATTCTCTAACATTATATATGCATACATGTATATGGAGTAATTACAATATTGCTAAAAACTATGGTTATGAAAATATTCTACAGCATATAACTTCAGTTGTCACAATGTTTTCTAGAAGTGTGCTGAAAATACAACTTGTAACTGCACGTTCTTTGTTTCATTATAGATTTACATAGTATTTATTAAAGATTTATAGATTTATTGTAGCATTATAGATTTTTTCTATTGCAGCTGATCATGAAAAAGGAAAGACTTTAATATAGTTAAACATATTTTTCATTGGCATGTAAATAATAAAGAATGTTCTTCAAATGAAGCAATTTAATTTTGTCATATGTGGATAAAATGAAAGTTCCTGTGTCCAGGATTCTCACCTGGCCCTAGCTGGCTAGCTCACTACACCCATGTGGGCAATGCATCATTACTGACTCTATATAAAGTGCCCTGCCCAGTGCTCTGGGCAACACAGTGGCACAGTTGCAAGGCTGTAGGAAAGCAGGGCAGAGGCTGGAGTGGTGGCAGCGCCGAGGACAGAGACCCAGAGGATGACTGTATGGTTAGAGAGGCCCAGAGGATGACTGTGCAGATAGAGAGGTGCAGAGGCAGAGACCAGCTTGCTGCATGCAGACTCTGAGTGAATAGGATTTTAGTGATTGACCTACCACCATGGAAATAAAATGGGCAAAACCGTTTCACCCCAAGAACATCTTACTGTCATTTCTTTGGTCACACTGAATCCATAATGAACTTGCCGGGGTCTGAAACCCATTGGCAAGACACCATATAATAAAGTAAGGCTTTTAAGAAAGTCACGTTGCATTCTTGCTAGGTTTTTCATGAAGAAAGATGGGTAAATGCTGCTTCGACATGAAGTCTAGCTTAAAAATTGGACTTGAAATTTTTGGGAAAGGTGATATTATTGGAACTTTCTTACTTATAATTTACTACAAGTATGGGTAAAGTCATATACTATGATATAGTTGTGTTATGATCAAGTAAAATAATATTCTAGCTAGAGATGGAAAAGCATTAACCAACAAGAATGGTTCTAATGTAAGAAACATAAACTGCAGGGAGGGTGTCTTGCCAATGGGTTTCAGCCCCAGGCAAGTTCACTATGGATTCGGTGAAACCAAAGAATGACAATAGAATGTTCTTGGACTGAAAGGGTTTATTACCCCGCTTGTTTTCCCAGCACTAGGGTCTCTACCTCCGCCCAGAGCACTGGCTGAGCTCTTTCTGTAGTGACTCAGTTAATTATAGCTTATTGCCTACGGGTGTGGAAGCAGTAGCCTAGCAATAGGCCATTTACATCATCAAGTGGTTTAGATACAGTGAGGATACTGGCCATAGAAACCCCAACTTTCTCCACAGAGGGCGTGTCCATTTGACAATGTATTTTTGTGTTTTCAGAATTATTCATCCAAAGCACCCTTCACCATTTGTTGAGACTCAGATTGGTTTGGTTTATTTTGTTTATGCCATCTTTGTTCTTGGTGCGAAAGGTGTCTTCAACTCAAATTATCTATTTTGAGTAAATGAAGGAAAATGCTGCTTAATTGTAAATGACATACATGGTAATACAAAAGATAGCATTTTGCACCTACCACATTAAGCAAATTGATAATAATGTTAAAGAGTTGAAGGTACACTGTATGTGTTCTCAAAGTGCTCTTTTGTGGTACAAGTATGAAAGAGGGGATCCCAGGCATTTTAAGAAAAAAGGAAAATAAGTATATATACCATAACATTAATTATATGTGTGTATATGTATATGTATGCATACTCAACCCACACATATCTAATTTAACAGTATCAAATTAGATACAGTTTAAAAGATTCTTGAAACTAAAGATAAATTTACAAATTTTGCTTCATTATAAGCAAAAAATTAAATCTGTTTATTTAATTGTGTATTTTATTGGTTTTATGAACACAGAAAAGGCTTCCTATAGCCACAACAAATTAACCTAGATCTGCTTGACTTAAAGCTCCTCCATGCGAGCTTTTATGGTATTCAAATTTCAGTCAAATGATTTAACATGCCTTTTTTATGGCTATATCCTGTGCCAAGTCATTCTTTGACTTGAAAATAATTCCATGCTTGCCTGTTTCTTCTTTGATGTGATTGAGTTGTTATGGCATCTACCATATTATTGATAACATTATATTCTGATGGTAGAATGAATTAAATTTGAGGATATATCACAACAGGAGGAAATGGGATAGAAGACCATTCCAAGGCAGGAAATACAGTTAAGTTTTTGCAGAAGTGTATAAGAATCAGAGATAAAATATTTAGTAGAATATAAGGTCAGGTAGAACATTCTTTGAACTAGATTCATAGCACAATGAGATCAAACATAATATTTTTGCAGCATTAAGAGAAATATACTCCTAACTGGAGGGAAAAGGAAAATAGCTTAATGTTAAGAAGAAATCCTATTCTTGCCTATCATCCATACCAAAGCCATAAAATTCATTCTAAGATTTAGTTCCATCTCTTCACAGAAAACCCAGATGGCTGGTGTGCTGTGGTAGAATTGCTGTTCAACATGAAACACCATGAAGTATAATCTCCCAATTCAAGACCAGAAATGAAGTCCTAATCTCTAACTTACCTAGACATTTCACAGGCTTTCCATATAGGTTTGAGTCTATTTATTTGTTCTGTATGTATTTAAAAGGATAAAACAAATTATTTTCTCTCATAATTTAAAACCTAGTAAAATTACACAGCTATGCAATGATCATGTTTCAACAGATAGGAAAAAATATACTTGTTCTTTTACTTGGGCTACCTTAACTCATTTTACTAACAAGTAAGAAAAAGGATGATTTTGCATAATATTAGTAGGATGATAGAGAGCAGAATAGTCAATTATTCAGAAATTGATGTTTTCCCTAGCTGTTTGGAAATTTTCTTAACTAATTTAATGTTTCTTCTTGTTTTTTTTTTTTTTTTTTGGTAAGAATATCAGTAAGCTTGCTCGTAAAGCCAAGAGCACTGATTTAAAGAAAAATGTGTTCTCATACTTAACTGGCAGGAAAGACACCATAATCATGGCAGGTTGTTTTTGCAGGGTGAGGCTTATCCACTGCCCTCCAGATTTCCTGTGATTTCCCCAAATGTGGGCAACTCAACTGCATAAATTTTGGTAATGAGGGACTGCATTCATGCTTTCTCAATTTAAAAAAAGTATTATTTTCATAACCCACAAATCTTGGGTACAAATCTGGGCACTCTTCCTGATTTTTTTAGTCATATGTTTTTTATCGTTATAATTTAGCTTTAATGTATTTTTTCAACCAAGCAGCACTTACATGTTACCAATACATCCAGTTCACTCTGTTGTCATGTTCACTGGCTTCTTCCACTGCAGATTAACTATTTTTCACTTTATAATTGGTAAGTATCTTGGAGGAAACAATTGGATATGATGTAAATATCTTGACTCTTCAAATTTTTGTCCTGCAACAATTATGACAGTGGTGTCCAAATGGCAGGATTCTGCTTTCCCTCATTCCTTTCAACTGAATGGAATTCTTCTGTAAGGGAGAACTGTCACTTCTCTGTATATTTACATTTTTAGTCATGTATTGTTCACATTACGGTTTTACAGATATTTATTTAATGGGTTGCAATTCAATGCAATTGCTATTTATTTTGCTGTCCAAGTCATCCTGGCTTTGACATTTTGGGTTATGTTTCGTTGCTCTGCACTTAGTACATAGCTTGCTCTGTTTTGAGTACTTGCCTACTTTAGGCTTTCAGACTATTCCCCAGGATCTTCCCATATTTTCGTGGCCTGGGTTAATCTCTTCTCCAAAAAGTCCTGGGAATAATATATATCTCTGATCTCTGCATTTAGTAAACACACCTAGATGTATTTAGGTATGTGGCTTTTTCTTTTATGCTTTTCCTCTTCTTTTGGGGGATTGTATGAGTCTTCATTATTGGAGATTTAAGAAATTATTTAGCACAGGGATTTTTTTTTCCTGCTGTCTTTATCTCCATTCCTTCTTTCTGTAACTCATATCAATTGGGTCAGTTATTCATGTGGTTTATTTTTTCCAGTTTTTAAAAATCTATTTGACCTTCTGCAGTGTTTCTACTTCAAAATGTGTTCTACTTCAAAAATGTGTTCTTTAGAATGTGCAACTTCCATTTTAATTTATCTTCAGTATTATTTCCCTGGCAGTCATAAATTTAAAAAAAATCTGGCCACTAGTTTCTGATAGTCTGATTTTGGTACATGAGATATTATTGTTAGTCACTTTGAGGATGTTAGTATCATGTTCGTCTTACTTTTCCAGCATTCTTTGTTCATTTTTTCTTCAAGGTTTGTTACATTGACTTTTCTTTCATGCTACTGACTCCCCTCAACTGTCAATTTTATCTGTAGTTGTCTTCTTCTGGTAATAAATAGAGGCTTCTACTGAGACACAGTTTTCTTACATACATTTCCCTAATCTAAGTAGCACTCTTTGTTCCTCTGGCAATGATTAAAGGAACTCTTCTAATAGGGAGTTAGTGGTGCACACTCACAGGCTGTTTTTAAGGAAATGTGGAGAAAGTACTGTTCCTAAGGGGATAGGCATTTCTTGCAGACAGAGTATCCAGAGTTTTGGGTTAAGCCCCAGGTTCTCCTCTGGGTGTCTCCCAGATGCATATTTCTCCAGTTTAGATTGTTATGCACATAGTTTTATATGGGAGGAAAATGCTGAAAATAGCTAAGTGAAATAAGTGACACATACATTTACTCTGTCAAGAGCCCCAGAGTCACTTCCAAAACAGAAAAAGAAAATCAAACAACAAGAGACAAAAAAATCTGACCGCTTTTCTGCCTCTTGCCTTGAAGCTAATTCAAGTGAGATCTGAAGGTAGAAGGACCCACTTTTCTTTTTAAAGTTGAGTGGTGAGGGTGCGGGTGGAGGGACACACTTCACTGTCCTTATGCTTTTACAGAAGAGCAGGTTTCTGCTCCCCTGAATTTAACTACGTCTGTAATCATCATATACATTATATCTCAAGAAATACCTGCTCATGTAGGGAGAATGTACCCTTATGATTCTTCAACTATGAAATTTGTGCTGATTAAAAAGTATGTATTTATTATGTGATTTTTAATGTAATTCTGGTAGGAGGAGTAATAATCATCTCCACTGAATTTTTAAGAAAATAAAAATCAGAAAAACAGTATAACATAAAGATGAAGGAAATTAGACTACTTTTTAGAAGTTATCTGAATTAACCTTGATAACTTGCAATGGAATTTTTTAGTGCAAAATTATTTTCAATTTACTGAACGTTTTTTCTGAATTGTTTATGGTCCTTTTTGTTTAAAGGAAAAATAGCTACTTTTCATTGCTGAGGATTTTTGATACTTCTAATTTTATTGTTTGCATAAACAGGCAAGGACATAATGATTTTTAGTTTAGTTAGTGATTTGTTTAGTGATATCAAGTCAGAATGCTAGAAGGAAAAGAAAACAAAGAGAGCCAATGAGCCATATTTAGTCTACAGGTTTGCTTGTTTTGCTCAGAAATGATTTTATTTTTTTCCAAAGTTTAAAATTTGAATATTTTATTTTGTATCCAAATTTCCAACTTCTTTTAAAATTAAATTCAACAGATCTGACAATAGTAGATAAAATTCACTTACTACATTGAAAGTAGAAACTTATCTGGAACTAACAATAGGTTACTTTTAAAATGGTGTGGGCTTTCCACAGACTTTAGAACTCCCAATTAATGGTCCAATAATATTTGCACAGTAAAATATACCCATTTCAATCCATTGCATTATACATTTCAATTTATTAGGGATTTGACTTTGCAACACTTCTTTTAATGGAATAAGAGGAAGGAAATAATGTAATGTCATCAAATTATCAATATACTTAGTTCTTTTGTTATGGGGAAGGGAGAAGGAAGACAAGACCTTGAAGTAAAAGAAATACTTTGCTTTAAGTGTACAACTGATAATAGAACTCATTATATTCAAATATTGCTGTGTAGAACAGCAATAAAATTAGCAAAGTGACATTGTTTTCTGTCTGGTGTTTTTTTGTATTACTGAAAATTACTTTTCTTGTAGCATTGACTACCAATTAGTAACCACCAGACGATAGCCATCTTCTTAGGTTTTTTTTTTTTTACTGGAAATAATTCTCATATAGTGCTGCTCCTTTAACAAGCACCTTTACTATGCGAGACACATATAAAAGTAATTAAATTTAATAGTCTCATTGCTTTTAAGCAAAACCATATGGTATACTTAGATTGCAAATTCTAATTGAAGTCAATGAGACTTTATGTAGAAAATACTTCTGAAAATGTAGCTGTGTAGTCAAATATATATACAAGACACCACTTTTATCTTGACAGAAGCATTGCCCACTACCTTTCTTCATTGTCTTTTTCATGCATACTCAGGAGCATTATAGCTGAACTGTCTTACCATGGTAAAAAACACTTTAAAATTAATAATAATGGTTGCCTGTGTATGCTCAGTGCATCATTACCCTCCATCTAAATTTGGATATTGCAGTAATTTCTGAAACTGTGTCTTAGATTAAAGAGCTGTATGTAATTAATACATGGACCAATCCATTCACATTTGTGTGTTCTATTATACATTCTAAAATGAAATCTCATTTAAAAAAGCTGTAAATGCATTGAGAAAACAAAACAAAATAAAACAAACAAAACATGGAAATAGTCATAGACCTCTTAGTTTCTCTAATTTGGAATAAATGTCCATAGAATTTTACCTTCTCAGTGTAGAATTAAAAAAGAAGGACAATGTAATTCACCAGGAATGTAAATCAATGGGACTATAAAAGGAAGAAAATAAAGTATCTTGCCAACCTCTGCACTCTGGTCATAGTCTTATATTTGATTTGGACAACACTGCTTCTCATAAAGGGTAACTGCTGTCAAGCCAGAGTGGATTTCAAGGCAGAGGAGGAAGTGATGAGAAGAGGGAGAAGTTAGTATCTTTACGTGAAGGCTCACAAAACCCTCTGTGGTTTGAGATTCTGGTGTTTACGAAGAACTCCTTATATGGCTGAAATCATAGAACTTATTATTGTGTTCTGTCCTATGCTAAAAGACTTATACATAAACTCCTGAAAATAAGGAAAAGAACTGCAGTAACCCAAAAGGGTTGTTTCCCCAATTTTAATTGCTAGATGGCCTAAGGATAGCTATATGTACTGAATGCCTTTGCTAAAGAGAATTTAACACAGAACAATTACTTGTTACATATAAAGAATCAATTGCTTCCAAAATCTTAGTGATACTGAATTTGCTAGGATGAAATTTGTATTTGTTTATGTATTTCTCATAAAAATAATATCATCACATTAAAAAGGGAATATTTGAAGTTATAAAGCTGCTTTATATGAAGGGCAACACTGATTTCCCAAACACATTAGGCAACTGCATCAGTATACACAAAGATATGGTGTTCTACACACATGTAAACATATATAAGAGCACGTGGTACAATAAGATACTTTATTTAACAGTTTTATACACTGTTATATATAAACATGTCGTTGTTGAAAGACAGCTTCAAATATTAAAATGCTAAATGGACACATAATATTTCATCAAGTAGATGTTGATTGATTTATCAAATCTCTCCATTGAATGTGCTTTTATATATGTTTTAAAGTAAACTTTTAATTTTATAATAGTTTTAGATTTATAGAAAAAGTGCAAAGATAATACAGATGCCAAATCAAGTTTCTTCTATTTTTAACCAGTTATATTAGTATGGTATTTTTGTCACAACTAATGAAAAAATATTGATATATTAATATTAAACTTCACTCATAGTTTATTTGTATTTCCTTAGAATTTTTCCTAATGTCCTTTATTTTGACAATTAATCATCATGTCTCTTGAAGCTTCTCTTGGCTGTGAGAGTTTCTTGGGTTATCTTTGTCTTAATGACCTTTATGGTTTTAATGAATACTGTTCTGGTGTTTTGTACAATGACCTTCAATTGAGATCTGTTCTGACGATTTTCTCATTATTAGGTAAAGTCTATGCGTTTTTGATCATTCTTATCACATCAGTGCACATTCCATCAACATGCCTTTTCACCAACATGCCTAATCACTGGACTGAGGAAATATTTTCAGGTTTCTTCATTATGAAGTATCTTTTTTCCCCTTT